TCTCCGCCTTGCGGCGGATGCTCTCGGCGGCGCGTTGCCTGCGGCGGTGTCCTTGCAGCTCTCCCGGGGACGCGGGTTTAGGTGCGTGCGGGGCGAGAGCGGGGTTCGGGGCGAGGGAGGGAGGGAGAGCGGGGTGCCAGCGGAGGCGGGGGGAGGTGACCGCTCGGTGTTGGGTGCGTGTGGGTGCACGAGTTTCTGCTGCCCTCAGCGACTTTTCCGTTCTGTCCCTGCTGTCTCTCAGCCCCGGGGACCCGGGTGACAGGGACTTTCCCCAGCCAGGGTGATGAGCTGTCTGATGCTCAGGGAGGGCGCAGCGTTGTGCCTCCCTCTCTGTCCTCACCCCACTGCACCCCACTGACCCAAAGGGGTCCTGGGGAGGAGGTGCTGGGCGAGCTGCTCCTCCTGCAGCCGAGGGGATATTTCCCCAGCCCCTGAGCTGGGACAGCGTGCCCTGTTTGGTGAAACACTTCAGATTTATTTCCATTTTGAACTCCTTTTTGTCAGAGGAGCTGGACATTAGTCCTTCGGGCTATGCTAGTCTTTGAGCTGAAAGAAATCTGGGGTTGTTTTGTTGTTTGTTTTTTTTTTTTTTCTTGTGAACCGGGGTCAGTTCCCAGGGCTGTGGCAGCGCTGCTCGTGCTGCCTTCCCCAGCCAGGGTGATGAGCTGTCTGATGCTCAGGGAGGGCGCAGCGTTGTGCCTCCCTCTCTGTCCTCACCCCACTGCACCCCACTGACCCAAAGGGGTCCTGGGGAGGAGGTGCTGGGCGAGCTGCTCCTCCTGCAGCCGAGGGGATATTTCCCCAGCCCCTGAGCTGGGACAGCGTGCCCTGTTTGGTGAAACACTTCAGATTTATTTCCATTTTGAACTCCTTTTTGTCAGAGGAGCTGGACATTAGTCCTTCGGGCTATGCTAGTCTTTGAGCTGAAAGAAATCTGGGGTTCTTTTGTTGTTTGTTTTTTTTTTTTTTCTTGTGAACCGGGGTCAGTTCCCAGGGCTGTGGCAGCGCTGCCATCGTGCTGCCCTGGGGTTGTCACCGCTTTACCCGTGCTGCTGTCCCTGCTCCTGTGCCGCGCCGCCTTGCCCTGCGCTGGCCCCGTGCCCGGCTGCTGCAGCGGGGCCGCTTGTGCCAGGCTGGCTTCTCAGAAGGCATCGTTTGCCATCTCCTGGGGCAGAAACACGCTCTCCCAAGGACAGGAGTGACTCTCTGATGGAGAGGCAGCTTCAGGGCAGCCCCTTCTTTGCCCCTTTTGCTGCATGGAAGCTGCTGCGGTATTGCCTGGAATGTGCACGCTCCGGAGCACCAAAATTAATTAATCTAACTGCAGTCCAGAGCCCTACGTCCACATCCCCACTATGGTTTCTGTTGCGTTTATCATCCCCTTTCCGTTCCCAGTTTAACCAAGTCAGTGCATGTGTAATACTGGGATGCTCCAACCCGGAGATGGTCCCATTTCCAGAGAGGGTCAGGCGGACCTGTGGGCAGGGAGGAGGGAAGGAGAGAGGAGGATGCTTCTCGGGGGCTGCCTTGGAAAATCACCTGTGTGTTTGCCAGCTGCTGGCTCATGCTGGCCCAGTTTTGCCCGTCAGGCTGCGAGATATCACATCCCAAATGTGGCATATGGACCTTGGGCTGAAATTGTCTCTTTTCTGGGCTAAAGGATGAAAAACCTGCTTGCACGGTGCAGAAAGCACATGAGCACTGTGTGGCTTTGCTTATTCACGTGGCTGGTGGAGAGCAGCCAGCTCTGTCTGCCTGGTGCGTCCCTGTCCTGTCCTGTCCTTCCCCGTCGCTGGTGGGCATCCTAGGGACAACATAGGTGGTGGCCTGGGGTCTCCTTGCCCAAGGTCCATCATGGTGGTTCCACGGGGCCCTGTCCTCACTCTTGTCCTCCCCTTGTCTTTCAGATGTCCTGCGGTAATCCGTCCCCCCACGGAAGGGCCAGCCTGCCTCAGCCAGCCCGTCCTCCCAGGCATCCTGCCCGTGATGGCCTCCGCGCCCCATTGAAGGGTGACAGGACAAGGAGCGAGTCCCCCCCCAACACCACCATATCCCCCAGCAGAGCCATGGAAGCCCCTCTGGACGTGCCTGTAGGGAACCTCATCGACTTCGATTCCGAAACACCCTCCTGCATCCCCTCAGAGCCCTCTCCTCCCGCTGCCCCCAGCGGCAATGGGCACCTGGGGGACGTGGAGGACGTGGCCGGGGAGGAGAGCGATGCCACTGAGTCGGCGGACAGTGAGAATGACATGGGTGACTCTCCCAGGCACTGGGGTGGCTACCGCCGGTCCTCCTCCAACGAGTCCTTCTCCTCCAGCCAGAGCACCGAGTCGGCCCGGGACGAGGCGACGGCCGAGCGCCGGGAGTTCATGCGGCACTACGTGGAGAAGATCTTCACCGGGGGGTGAGCGAGCGGGGCCAGCCAGCGCCGCTGAGCCTGCTGCCAGGGCACATCCCGCGGGATGGGATCTGGCTGCTTTCCCACTCCGGGAGCATCGCTTTGTGTCCTTCCCCGTGCTTGGCTAACGCAGCTTCTCGCTCCCCGCCGTAATGCGGTATTGGAGCTAAGGGGGGGACGCGGGCTCTGACTTTCACCCCTCTCTCGGGCACGTTTCAGCTCATCCTTCACCCCCAACCTCCCTCCCCTTTTCTTTCTCCCCTTTCCCACGCTGGGGTCTTGCCATGGCTGGGTTCTCCAGCTCCTCTCCCCCACGTTGGGCATCTCTGCTGCTGCTCGTACAAATGTCAGCAGCTCGTGTGTGCCCCGGGGCCCCACGGCATCCCCGGGCATCCCCCCCAGCCCTGCATCCCTCCCAGCTCCCACCGCTGTGGTCTCCGTAACGCCGCGGCTCGGCACGTCACGCAGGATTGAGCAAAGCGAGCATGACGAGCAGCAACAGGGGTTGTTTTTGCTCCGGGGCAGAGTGCCTGTCTCTGGAATTCAGCTTCTGCTCGGGCTGTCCTTGGCTCTTCCCTTCTCCCTCTGCCTCTGGTTTCCCCCCTGCCAGGGAGGAACAAAAGAGCAGCGTAAGCCGAGGGATGACAAAATGGATGCTCCCCTTCCCCTCTTCCTCTGCCTTCTTCCCGGCCTCACGGCACCGGGATGCTGCCACCAAGAGGGGTGACGTGAGGGAGATGAGCCGTGCTGGCTGGGTGGGGGATGCCGGCCATGTCCTTGACTTTAATGTTTGTTTGTTGTTTTTTGGGGTTTTTTTTTCCCCATTTCAGAGAGGATTTGGACCAAGAAGAGAAGGCCAGGTTCGGTGAGCTCTGCAGCGGCGAGAACGGGAAGGGAAGGGAATGGTTCGCGAGATACGTGAGCGCCCAGGTAAGGGGAGAGATGGGCGAAGAAGCAGCGATCCTGTGTCAGGGCTTCGGAGCAGCCTGGGCAGGAGGCTCGGGCCAGGGGAATTCAGCCTTGGCCCAAAGCAATAGTTTTGGAGGGCAGAAACTTGGGGAAAGGGAGGAACTTCAGTACAGTGAGATACAGAAATGAATAAATGCATCTCGAGGCAGTTAAATACGCACTGGCTGCAATGTGGCAGAGAAGTCCTCTCTTTCATTTAAAATGAAATCCCATCAGCACTCAGAAACGTCCTGTTCCCTAGAAAAACAATTCAGAGAGGCAAACAGCTGTCTCGGAGAGGGAGGCCCGACCGCCTGTCCTCTCTGCCCACCTCCCAGCGGTTGGGGGGTCCCAGGGGGATGCTGAGGATGCCCTTGCTGCTTGCGGCAGGCAGCTGCCCCGCAGGGCTGTGCTAATCCCCGGGCTTTGTGCCTGCAGCGCTGCAACTCCAAGTGCGTCTCGGAGCAGACCTTCTACCGCCTGATGCAGTCGTTCGCCCTCGTGCTGTTCGAGTAAGTCGGGGGGTAGTGGGGGTGTTGGGGCTTGGTTGGAACCCCTAAAACCCCCTGAGATCAGAGCCACGGGCTTGAGGAGGAGCAGCAGCCATGAGGCTGCTTGAGTTGCCATCACTGAGTGTCTTCACTGAATCCTCCCCCCATGTCAGGTGCCACCAGATGGATGACTTCAGCCCTGCCAAGAACCTTATGACCATGTGTTTCACCTACTACTACATGGGTAAGAGGTGTCTGCACCCTCGGGCTTTGCTTGTGCCAGAGGAAGGTGGTGAAGCGTGCCCTGTGCATGAGAAGGGCCATGGAGGGCTACCCAAACTTGGCTTGCTCTGGCTGACTCTGATATGAAGCAGAAAAGAGCCTCCATGGCCTAGAAGCTGTGCAAACCTGCTGGAGACCCTCACTGGGGTGGTAGCTCATGCTGATGCTGGTTTGCCATTGCTTCTAGCCAGTCATCCTGAGATGTAGCCCAACCCTGGGCACGTGAAGTGAAACCCTCAGCCCAGAAGCACCTTGGCTCATTGCTTGGTGTGTGGTTGTCACTTCTCCACCAAGGGCTGGATTTTCTATCCAAAATGGGGGGAGGATAAAGACTTCCAGGAATTGGGATGGGATGGGATGGGGTCTGGGCTGTTTCTGTCTGGCTCCTGGTGTCTGCGATGCATCTTGTAGCTGGGCCTTATAGCAGGTCCCCCAAGAGCCAGCAGCACCCAGGACCATGGGGCCAACTGAGCTTCTGCCACTTTGCCTGCAGGCAAGACCCACGCACTGCCCTTGGAGGCCAAGGAGAAGCCCATGGGCAGCATCGATTCGTACCTGAAGTCAGCCAACAGCTGGCTGGCAGAGAAGAAGGACATCGCGGAGCGACTGCTGAAAAACACGTCGGCCAAGACGGAGAACGTCAAGGGCTTCTTTGGAGGCCTGGAGACCAAACTGAAGGGTCCTACCACCAAAAAGAGCGAGTGGGTACCACTCTGTTGTGTGGGCAGGGTGGGCTGAGGTATGCAGTCGTAAGGTGAACAAGCCAGAAACCTCCTAGGTGTAGGGCCACCATGAGCCAGGGGTTATCACGGCCATTGGAAGACAGTCTCTAGCCTGGTCCCATGCTTCACCCTTTGCTCATGGAGCATCTCATGCTCTGGGAGTCCCATATCCCTTGGGCATGGAGATATGTGGTTCCAGGAGACAGTGCTGCTGCTTTTTGGTCTTCTGCATTCTCTCTGTGCTAGGTCTAACTGGGATGGACATCACAGTCTCTTGGCCACCTTTCTGGCCCCGGGGACAGTGGCATGGGAACGGGGCGGGTCTTTCAAATGAAGGTGCTCCCCTTGCCAAGGGGAACAGGGTTATGCTGCATAGGCTGTCAGGGGGACAGACGTCTCGGGAGCTGACACTGATTTCTGTGCCACAGCGAAGGTGAGGACAAACCAAAGGAGAAGCTGAAGAAGACAGGTGAGTAGAGCCAACATTGCTGAAGTAGACATGGTCAAGGCATCCCTGGGGAAGGAGCAAGGGTTGGAAGTGCTACATGACGGCTGGCATTGCCAAAGCTGGGGGGTGGGGAGAAGGGCAGGAAGAACCAATGCTGTCTCCTCTGAGCTCCTAGAGAAGTGCTCCAAAGGAGCCTTCACAGCTCCTTGCTTTGGAGCAATCACAGCTCTTGTCCCGCAAGGACATCTTGTGGCATCTTGTCCTCAGTGGCAGAGGTTTGGGCATCCACTGCCTCTGAGCTTTCGTGCTGCTCCAGTCTCCCCCCCCAATACCTGTGTGGCTACCAAACCAGTGGTCCAGTCCCTTGAGTATCCTCCTGGGACATCCATACCTTGATCAGACCTAATATTTGCCCGCAAAGGGCAGCCAAGGCTCCTCTTGCTGAGGATGTGTTGGGGATGAGTATTTGGCTCGCAAACCTTGCCGTCACGGCTGCTTGGATGCCAAGCTGGCGGGTGGGCACAAAGTCTGTGTGTGGGTGGGAAGGTGGGCGTCATTTGGCATGTAACCGTGTGTCCCCACAGTTTCTGTGCAGAGCCCAGAGGAGGAGGAGAAGAAAGGAGAGAAGATCTACCTGTACATGCACCTCAAGCAGCAGCCGATCTGGTAAAGCCTGGCCGGGGCGAGCTGGCTCCTACCTGGCATTGGCCTCCCCAGAGAGGAAATTTGTTCTCCTCGCCCACGCGTTCCCTGAACGTTCATGAGTGCTTTTAAGCTGCTGCCACCCCTAAAAGAGGTGGTCATGGCTTTTGCACATCCTTTGTGCCAGTAAGAGTGTGTTTGCAGCCACACAAGGAGCTGGCCCAAAAATGGACCAAATTTGCCAGACTTGCATCATCTCCTGGCCCCTGGGAAGTGGATGAACTTGGCCCTGGGAGGACTCAGGGACAGGCTGGGGGAGATGGGGGGTGGCCGTCCCCAACGTCTCCCTCCCTCCTTGCAGGCACAACCTGCGGTTTTGGAACGCCGCCTTCTTCGACGCTGTGCACTGCGAGCGCAGGAAGCGGTCCCCCACCACCAGGTAGGACATGTCCCCGTGGGAAAAGGAGGCGCTGTGTCCTCTCCAGCCCCCCGGCCTTCCCCCCTGCTCCTGATGGCCCTAAGCATTACTGACCATGGGGAAACACTCTGCTTTCCACCCCTGATCGCAAAGCTGCTGGGGCCACCGGGCTGTGGGGCGGGCAGGTGAGAACTGCATCCTCTTAAGGATTTGGGAGCATGAAGTTTTTCATGCTCGTTTTACATCAGTTTTGCAAAAACAAAGCCCTGGAGGTGCGCCCAGCAAACCCAGCCAGGGTTCAGGCTCTTGGTGCTTCGTTTGCAAGCAGATCTGGGAACAGATGCTCGGTGCAGCCCTTCGGGGAGGTACAGCGGACGGGGAGGGGATGCCCTGGGTCCCGGCTGTGGAAGTCCTGCGTGGGGGACTCTCCCTGGGCAGCCAGCAAGGACAAGAACTGGAGACATCTTGTGGTTGGTAGCATGGTTGGCCCCGAGACCTGGGAGGATTGGGATAAACCCTGCAAAGGGAAGGGGCTGCTCGTTTCGGAGGGTGGCTGTGTGCAGGGAGGATCTGGGTGCCCGGGCAGGGGGATCCGGTGGGGTGCAAGGCTGGGTGAGATGCTCACCAGCCTTTTGCCCATCTCTCGCTCCACCACGGACCTGCCGTGAGGGCCTGAGCAATTCACTCCTCTCTCGACCGCAGTTTCGCCCCTCCGAAGCCGCACCATCCTGCTGCACGTCTGTGCAGTGCTTTGAGGATTTGAGCTCTCGGGGTGAGAGTCGTTGAGCTCGAAAGCGTTTGAACAGCCCCTTTCTGAGCAGTGACGGCGCTTCTTGACGCAGCCAGCCCTCCTGCATCCTCCCCAAAACCTGGGCTAAGCCACGGCAGCCCTGGCTCACGCCATGGGATGCTCTGCCATCCTCAGTGCACCGATCAGTCTCTGCTTTCCCCTTTATTGCTTTTCTTTTCTTCCAAGCAAGCCACTGAAAGAACCTATTGAACAGTAATGTAACCATAACTGCATTTGCTTTGATTAAGCCCCAAATTAGCAGCAGCAAATGTCTCACAGGGACATACGCCACCGGCAGCTGCTCTCTGCTCCGAGTGCCTTTCTCAATTAATCTGATGGCTGAGTCTGCCTCTGCTGCAGAAACAAGCCCGACTAAGAAACGAGCTTTGGGCGCTGCAGCCTGGAGTACTGCGAGTATCTCAGGGGGGTTGGAAGGTGGTGGTGACCCCTCTTCAGTCCTCTGGACGGGATAACTGGGTGAACTGGAATGTTGCTTGCTGGACTGAGGATTAAAATCCCTGGCAGGGATAAAATCCCTGGTTGGCAAGGGCTGGCATCCCACCGGCTGGGTTTGAAACGCCAGGGACGGTGCTTGACCATGGCAGGCGTCTGCAGGGTCCACGGTGACTGGTTTGTGATGGTGCCCATCTCTGTGGGTTGGCCAGGGCGTTGCTGGGGTGGCTGGGCTTTCTCCTCCCAGGGCTGTAGTGAGAGCTGGGGAGGTTTTCTCTCCTCTCGGTGGGGAGGGCAGGGGGTGGGGGGAAGGAACCAGAACTAAATTCCCTTTTCTCTCTCTTTCCTCTCTCTGCCTCTAACATCCTTCTTCCGTCTCTTCTTCTCTCCTTTCCCCTCCATCCCTCTATCTTGCATGATCTTTCACGCACCACTTTTGTCGGCCCCGTTTCTGCTGCCGCTCCAGAGGGAACGCTGGGGAGGAAGAGGAGAAGAGGTGTGTCTGTCCCCGTACTTCGGTGCATTAGTGTCCAGAGCCCGACGCTCACTTCAGGTCCAAATCCTGCCCTGGGCAGGGGGGTAATGCGTTTCAGGGGGGCTCTGAAAGACCCTTTCTCCATCTGGGAGGAAGAACCGCTGGAGGTTCGACTTCATGGGCATCACCCTCTCAGAAGGGCCAGAAAGGCTGAGATTGGTTCCCCTTTAATACGGCTTTTTTTAAAAAGAAACCTGACTGGTTTCAAGCTGTGATATTTCACTGTGGGAACCAGATGCCCAGCTGCTGGGGAAGCTGAGGGCTTGTGCCAGGGATGGTTCTCTGGGCAGGTTTTGGACATGAACTGAGTCTCTTTGTGGAGAAAGCATCCCCCTCTCCTGTCCTTCCCGCTTGCTCCTGGCTTCTGCTGCCACGTAGAGGTGCTGAGGATCCTTTGCCAGCTGGAAAAGCTGGTCCCTCTTTTTTTTTTTTCTTTTTTTTTTTTTTTTAATGCACTTTTGTGCTGCCATTCCAAGATTAAAAGAAAAACTCAAACGGGGGCTGCATGTTGCGATCAGTCACGAGCGTGTCCTCCGGGTTGCAAAGCCCAAAAGCAGCCGCATCCATCCGCCGCTCCGAGCTGGGACTGGGGAGCAGGGAGAGTCATGGCTCTCTTGCTGGAGCCGGGGATATTCGATCTTGGAGCAAATCACTCCAAGTGATGGCATTGGTAAGAGGATGAGGGTTCTCTGAAGCTGGGCAGTAAATCTTCCACGGGGCTAAGGCATGCACCAGCAAATGGGGAACTTAAATATTGCTCAGGTAGAGCATCGCTCCGGTTTAGCTGTGCGGGGTGAAACGCTGCTGCTGAAAGACGAACGACGCTGAGTGATTCAAGCCAATCTCACCGGCACGGTTCTCGCCGGCGCCCGGCTGCGGCGAGGCTTTCCTGGGTATGCCAAAATATGGGCAAGGTGTTAGCACAGCCCGTGGGGCTGCGCCTGCCCTGCTGTGCCAGTATAAAGATCAAAGGGTTTGAGTACAGCCACATGTGGGCTTTCCCCCTTCTCAGGCGTGTTACTCCCCAATAACAAGCCAGAAGCACGGCGAATTTTTCTCAGGCACTTTGATAATTTTTTTTTTTCTCCCCTTCCTCCCTCAAAAACATAAAAAGACAGGAAAAAAAAATAGTAACAAACATGCCTCTTCTGTAAGTGGGCCAGTGAGATCTGTGAAGTTTTGCTTCCAGATTTCAAAGCTCCTTAATTTGATTCTTCTCCTTTCTTTTCAGCCTCCAGATTTGGATGTGGTTTTTATTTGCTATTGTAAGCTTTATCTGGGAGAAATTACACCTTCTTTTTTTTTTTTAATCTCTTTAAACGTATCGTATAAGTTTCCAGAGCTCTATAGATATAAGCAGCTCACCCCTGGAGACCGAAGGCTCAGCTCAGCAGCTTTTGCACACCGGGGCTGGGCTGAATTGAGCCGGGACAGGGTCCCCTCCGTGGGCTCAGCCTGACTGAGCACTCATCCTTTTCCAGTTTCAGCATCACAAATGCTCTCTGGGGCTGCGCTAACCTCACTGAATTTACCGTGAGACACCCTTCTTCCCAGCCGCCGTTTCCACCCGACACAGCTCCTCCCGTCCTGCTTGGTGTGCCGGCCAGCTAGCGCGAGCTGCAAGCGTACGGTCCGCTCCTGGTGCTCTCCTCTTCCTTCTCCTCCATAGAGCTATTTTTCTTCTACCTATCCTTGGTTTTCCTCGCTTTTCCTCCTCTTATCCTTGGCTGTAACCTCACCTGAGTTCTGGGGAGGGGGCTGGCTTCACCCTGGAGCTGTAGTTTCCCCGGCGTGCATGCACCGTAGTCCCCCCGCCACCACCTGAGCGTTGCACCACCACAGTGACATTTCTGTGACGCGGGCTTTATTCCCAAGTGGGACACCTGGATGGGGACTCCTGCCACCGCCTCGGGTTGGTTGCAAATATCTCGAGCTTAAAAAAAACACCCTTCCTTCAAGGCAACGCTGCAGTTGCATTTGCCAGGGAGCTGGAGTGGAGCTGGAGCATCCTCTGGGCAGCGCTGGGATTTGGGACTTCATCCCCTGAGTGGGGCCATGGGGAGGGGTGGAGGAGCCCCCCAAACTGTCGGAGTGGGGGATAGCAGTGCGGTGCTTGGGGAGTTTGAGCTCTGCAGCAGATGGGGGAGAGGTGCCCGGTACCCTCCTGGTACCCCTCTCCTCTAGGTTGGGGGGGTTCAGTGGTGCCCTGCTGGGATGGCCATCCCCAAGAGCTGCAGCCCCCCCCTGCTTCCTCACTCATCCCCCTTGCCAAAGCGATGGCATCGAAGGTGAGAGACACAAGTTCTGTGCTGGAGAGGCCGATGGTAAATCCTAGCTCTTAATCAGTGCCTTCGGGAGAAAGCCAAGGTTGGAGAAGACCTTTTTCCTGGGGCTTCTCTTGCTTTGCCCCAGGGTGAGAGATGGATGCAGGAGTCCAAGCTCCTCCAGCACCGAAGGCTCTCCATGCCCTGCTGTCCTCTGGCAGCGTGGCCCGGGGAGGAGGGGGGGGGATGCGGGTCCCGGGGTGACGGCGGTGCCAGACGGAGTTGTGTGCCTCGCAGGGAGAAGTGGTGCCACATGACACAGCAGGAGCGTGATGACAGCCTCCGCTTCAACGAGAACATCACCTTCGGGCAGCTGGGGTGAGCAGGGCGCCGGGACCGTCCCTCCTGCAGCTGGGTTCTGCGGTGTGTCCTCGCCAGCTGTGGGTGGGACACCTTACAGATGTTCCCCCACTGGGGACATCCCTTATGTTGCAAGCGGATGCTTGATGCTTCTCCCTGGGACCTGCTCCTGCCCCTTACGTTGCAAATCCGGGCACTGCAGGGACATAGCATGCTCTCCCACATCCCAGCATCATCCCAGCGCCCGGGTATGAGGGGCTGCGGGGAGGAAGAGGAAGGTGGGGGGAAGAAAGGGCAACCTGGCCCTTCCCTCACCGAGAGCATCTCTTGTCCTTCCTCAGCACCTTCATCCACAACATGCTGGCGTTCGGCCTGAACAAGAAGCTCTGCAGTGACTTCTTGAAGAAGCAGGCGACCATCGGCAATTTGGATGAAGGTAGGGGCCAGCCCGGGGGATGCGCACCCCCTTCGTGGCGTCTCGGAGGGATGGAGCCCACCTGCCTGGCCAGGATGCTTCCGCACCCTCCCACCACCCTTTTCTCTCTCCTCTGCAGAGCAATACAAGCTGCTCAGCGACCACATCGAGCAGATGGCCACCGAATAGCCACCTGGCCAGCACGCTGTGGCGGAGACGGAGGCCGGAGCGGGTGGGAAGGGGAGAGGAACCCACCTCCGGGGCTACCTGAAACTGAAGCTGGGCTACTTAAAAAAAACCCTACACACACACAAGCTGCAATAAAACCTGCATGATCATCCACCAAACTTTAGCGCTGCACCAGGGCAGCCAGTAGAAATAGGAGCCAAACAGGACCCCCCCCCTCCCTCGCCAGACCCTCCTGCATCTATTTTCAGAGTAGACAGTCCCAAAAGTGTATTTTGTCAGTTAAAAAAAAAAAACAAAAACAAGAGAAAAGCAAAAAGACAGTGACCTCTGCAGCCCCCAGGTGTGTTTGAGACCTGGATCGCTGTCTTTCCAGCCCCACCGTGAAATGCTGTCTGTGGTCTTCGGTGTTCCATAGCACAACAGCGGTGGGTGCAGAGCTGCCAAACGCATTTGCTGCTCGGTGCCTTTCTGAGGCTGCTGTGGAGAGTGGTAAATTCGGAGGAATCCAAGGCTGTGAGCCTCCCGCTGTCTTTTCCTGCCAGCATCCCAATATATTTTAAAACAGATAAAATCCTGTGGTCCTTCCCTGTACCACCTTACCAGTAGCTTTGGGAGTATGCCCCGTGATCTCACAAGAAGTGAAATGAATACTCTCTCCCAGTGTATGTTACTGGGGTCATATGGAGATAAACCACAGATATTTTATTACTCCAGAAGGCATATCAAAAGAATCAGGGTCCTATTGATGGCTCCATTAAGAGTTTGGTGCAGGACCCTGACCCTCGGCAACATCATCTATTTTGCCTACAACAGTTGGGATTTTGAGTTGCTGAATCGTTGGGGACATGGGCAGTGCTGGGGCTTACTGGGAGCAGAGATGGGGCTGGAAAAGCTCTGTTGCCTTCCTTGGTGTTGGGCTCCTTGGGAGCTGGAGGGAAATCCTTCCCTTGGGAAACCTTCCCTGTGCCGCCTGCGTGGTTTTGTATCTCTGGGCAGAGAGAAAACACAGTTTGTCCCGTATCATCAGCCTGGATCTGCAGGGAAAAAGCCATGGCCGCGAGAGGAGGCAGAGGAGCACCACGTGAAAGGGAGCAAGGCAGCAAAGGGGCAGATTCCCCCTGCTGCATCGTCAGCGTCGGGGCTGCCACAGGCTTGCGGCTTTTCCCAAAGCATCCCAGCTTCCCACAGCAGCTGTGGTATTAGATTAATCGCCCTCCTTCCCCCGGGCTGTGCCTCGCTGCCCTCTCCTTCCCCAGTCCCTTCGCTCCAGCTGGTCATCAATCAACCCTGAAATAGCCCTGTCTTAAGTACATCTCCTATTCTGCTCGAGTGATGGCAGCTACCCCCTGTGCCGTGTATCCGGTTTTTCCCCGCGGACCTTGGCACGGTGTTGGCAGAGAGTCTGGGGACACGGGGACATCGCTGCTCCCCTCTGCAGGGCGCATCCCCGCTCTGATGGGACCTGCTCGGCTCTGCCCATGGGGACGGAAAACCCCAACTCCGCTCAGCCAAGGGTCCAGCAGTCAGTCTCACCCCAAAAACATTGTCCTAAAACATAAGTCCAGGTTTCACGGCGTCATCGGTCCATTTTTTCCCATACTGTCAGCTGTATCCCATAAGATAAATAGCATAAGAGGGTTGGTTGTTTTGTGTTTGTTTGTTTTTGTTTTTTTTTTCCCCACGTAGCTCTTAGTTTCTGGTGTCATTTCTTAGCACCAAAACGATGCTTTTACCTAAACTGGGCTTCTCTTGCTGCTGGGGCTGGGACTCTGCTCCACGCTGGGTTTTGTAGGAAGGATGGATCCTGAGCTGGCTTTCCCTTGGCCATTTTCAAATCTGGGCAGAGTTACCGGAGAAAGGGTTTTGTCAGGGCGAGGGGTTGCCGGAGGGGACTAACGTGCACTTTGTGCACGTTAGTCCCCTCCGGCAGCCCCTTGCCCCAACGCCTGATGGAAAGGATGTGCTGGAGCATAAGCGTCAGGCAGCTCAGCACCAAGCCCCGCATCCCGGAGCATCCCATCCCTGCGGCATCCCCGAGTCTCTCTCCATTCAGGTCTTTCCGGAATCCTGCTTTGTTTCTTTATTGTTGGGTTGTTTTGGTTGGGTTTTTTTTTTTCCAACATGAAAAAAAGTTTAGCGGTGAAATATATATTATTTGCATGTGTATTTTTCTAAAAAAAAAAAAAAAAAATTAAAAATATCCATAAAACCTTCCCGGTTGGGACTGTGTGAAGGATGGGGTGAGAGAGAGGAGAGAGAGATTGGAATAAATTGTCTTTAAAATGACTCTCTTGCTCAGCTGTTGTCGTGTGTTTTAATCAGATGGATGTCGCTGCTGCCTGCTCGGCCTCGATGGTCCCTGGTGCCTTCCCCAGCTCAGCTCCCCTTTTGATGACCTACTTTTTTAATAGGGAAAAATTGATGCACCTTTTAAAGAAGCGTTAGCGTTTGCCCCGCAGCCAGCTAGGCACACGAAGGAGATGTAATTTTTATTTTCTTTTCCCCTGCGCCCTCAATCTCTGCCAGTCACTGCTGATCCGACCACGGAGCTGGGATCCTGCTCTGGCCTCAGGACATTTGATTTCAGTGTATTTAAAAATCAATTACTCAGTATTATCTTATTAAAAAAAAAAAAGATGTTCCCTTAGACTAATGGGCTGTGAGTGTCATTCTCTACCCAGGCTTCGGAGATCACATCCCCTCAGGTCTCCGTATGGCCAAGCTGAGCCTGTTCCCTGCCCTGCAGGGCTGGTTTCTCTCTCGATAGTCCAAGGGCAGGGTTTCACGGCCACGTTTCTCTTAGGAAGGAGCTGCCCTGCTCCTTCTTTTTTTTTTTTTTTTTTTTTAACTACCCTCCTTGGAGCACTCCACAGATCCACCATTACAGGAGGCAAACCCATCAGCCCTGCAGCTCGTGCTTGGATGTCTTACCTGGGGTTCTACATGGGTGCGGGCTGACCAGCTATGGAAAACCAGAAGCCACATGCCCCGGGAGAGCTTTTGTTCCCTCCATCCGATGAATTACTTACCTCCTGGCTGTGCCCGATAAGCTTGTGTGTATAAGAAAGGAGGTGCTTATTCCTCAGGTATTTGCTCAGCGCCGGGTGCCCCTTGCACTGGGTGCACCCCCAGTATCTCCCGGCTGCTGATTTTGGTGGCTGAGGGCAGCCTGCACTTGCAGAATGGCATAGAGAAGCTATGGGGGCAGCTTGCACGGCAAGAAGGAGTGAGATTCACTTAATCCTAATATAGGAGGTCTGGTATCCTTGTCCTGCTCATTAGGTGGTGGTCATTGAGCCCGTTTAGCTTTTAACATGTGAGAAACGTGGTGCATCAAACGAGGCGAGGGGCAGCTGAGGGGTGGCACCCGACGCAGGAGGCTCTTTGCTCGAGCTGAAAACCACCCTCATTTTAAACCCCCAAAGGTGGGTTAGACCAGCTGTGATTTGGGTAACCGCAGCATCTCAGCTCCTGGAGGAGCCACCAGCAAAGGTAGGAGCAGCACCGTGGGGGAGGAAGGTGCTGTACATCATGGGCATGTCTCCCCATTCATCCATCCATCCATCCCTCCCTCCCTGCGGGGTATTAATCACACTCTCCACACAGCAGCTTTAGGAAAGCTGATACGGTTCGTGGATGATGCCAGCCATCCATTAAACACAGGGGTTAGCGGTGGCCTGGTGGCCGCTCCGTCTCTGATCCTTCAGGCTTGAGTGCAGCAGGCGGCTCTCAGCCCCCCCTCCCTCCCTCCAGGGATAAAAGGGACGTTTGCTTGCCGGGCTCTGGGGGTTTTATTGCATCTCTGTTAAAGCTGTTAAAAATCTTTCCATTGTAGTAGTGTCTGGGAGTGATAAGTATTCATAACAGAGGGGATTCAAGATGGGTTTGGCTGTAAAAACACCTCTAAGCTGGCTGGATTTATGGCTGTTAAATCATCCCTTTTCTCATCTGTCACAGCTTTTTCAGATGTTCATCACTGAACAACAGCGAAGTCGGGGCCATAATTTGTGCCGCAGTGTGCGGAGCAAGAGGGAGGGGAGTCCTCTCCATCAGTAACTACCTCGTGATTTATGGGGACCGTCTCTTAGCCTCTTTTTTCTCGAGCAGGAGAGGCTTTGACTCTCGTTAGCTGCTCTCGTCCGCACACCGCTGCCAGCTTGCTCGGCCAGCCGGAGCCAGGCAAGGGCTGGTGGATTTAGAGCCATGCCGGAAAGTTTGACAGTGGCATTTGGGGAATTTGGGGCTGGCCCTCACAGCAGCGGGCTCCGCAATGCGGGGCTGCGCCTCTCGCTGTGCTCGGGCTCTGCTTTGGGACTGCATCTCCCCGTCCTCCCCTTGCTTTGGGGTGAAACGTGGGGAAATCCCACCGATGCCCACCGCAGCAGCCTGCGAAGAGCCGGGATTTCGGGAGGCAGCAAGATCGCCTCATCTTGCAACAGCAGCGTAAAACTTCATCAGTGCTTCGCACGGCAGCGCTGCCGGAGATGCCCGCTGCAGCGCCGCCAGAGCTGCCCGCTCTCCCTTTCCATCGCTTCTCAAAACAGATCACGGAAAATGTTTTGGGGGGAAATCCTCCAGCTTTGTCCCATTGCTGGCAATCCTCGCTCAGCCGCAGAGCGTCCAGGATGCGACCAAAGGCCAAAGCGAAGCAGCCAAGCGCCGGGTGCCGCTGCACCGGGGCCAGCATCCCGCAGGGGGTGCCGGCAGCTAACGCAACGCCAGCCTGGTACCCACAAAGCGGGGACCCCAAACCATCTGCCGGAGGTGGGTTTGCCCCCCCCCTCGTTTGTTTTTTTTTTTGCCAGGGGTGCCGGTAGTCGGTTTTGTAGCCCCATCAAGTGTCTGCCAAGCGAACTGCATTGCTGGCTCTCCGCTTTCTGGCCTTTGGGATGGGCAGTGCTTGGCCCGGTTGTCGCACACGGGCGTGTGAGCAAAATATGTGGCACATCCAAAGCCAGGATGTGCCCGGGAAAAATTCCCGGCAGATGAGGCCACATCCC